GGGAATAAAATTCAAAATGTTCGTTTAAACAATATAGTTTAAAGTCCCAACATTTTTTCTGTAGGGCGTAGGTTGTATACACATCAAAGAATGGACGGAAGGCACCAGTATATATAATTCTTTAGCACCTGTCACTACCAATCGTAGGTATGCCACACAAAAAATTTGTATTTGTAATTCTTAATTAAGTCGATTGTTCTTAGTGTTAGAGTAGATCAAGATGAACATAAACATTTATTGATGGATCGTTAACACGAACTGAAAGTTTCCTCCTGATCGAAGTAAATTTGATAGCAAAACATAAAGTTTGTCTCAATTAATGTCACAGTTCGCCCCAGATGAAGCAGCCTCAATCACAAGTAAATAATTGAAATTGAAATAGCACTGATGATCTTCTCGTATGAAGTGCATATAACATGAGATTAGTTCAGGCATAATATGTATATTTGGTTTTTGAAATTTATGAAGTTCGGGCTCGATTGAGACAAGTTTATCTATGGTCCGATCAATCTTGATTTCTTCGTGATGCTAATGTTGTTTGTTCTTGGCTGGTTAAAATATCACTACTTCCGTTCACAATTTTATAGCAATGTGGTACATGTCGATCTCTTTATTCAGACGGTCATCGACTGTCTAATCGGAATTTGTGAGTACGTAGCAAGTAGCAACATAGCGGTCTACGGGCTCCGGATTCTCGTAGCAGTCGGTAATTATTAAATGGGCCCAAATTAGTTGGAACCTACGTGGTGTTTGTACTAAAGTGAAATAACAGGCGACATATGAATGACGTTCAAGTGTGCCAGTTAGAAATCAATAGCAGTGCAAGGGCGGTACTCCCACGCTACCTACATATACGCAGGCTGTAAACTTTAAACTGTTGTATAATGTACCGGCCGAGGCTGCTAACAACATTACGTGCAAGTAAGCGTCCTATATGAGCAGTCCACGGTCGACGCCTGTGGGGAGTCCACGTCACGCTCAATGAATCAAACTGATGGGAGAATGGAACTGACGTTAGTTAATAAACCTAGTTATACGTAACTATTAATCGAATTCAAGCTGAAGTGAATAGTAACTCTCATATCTTACAATCCTAATGTAGGATAGAAATTAATACAATATCCATATTTAACTGAGCCTGTAAAATTCCTAAACTTTACTGGCAGATGGCAAATCTACCTACTACACGTACTACAGTAAGAATAAGATTTGTGGAAAGGAGAAATCCGAATATGGATAACAAATTAATGCACGCCAAGACTGTTCTTTTAATTAACTGTAATTTATCTATATCTATTGTTCGTCAATAGCGGCAAATACGAGCTTTTAAATGGTGTTTGGATCATTTATGCCCGGTTTCTGAAACACTGATCATCGTAGAAGCTTCAACTAACCAGCTTTCAAATGTTATTTAAGTTGTCAAATTGATTGTTAAACTCTTTAAATTGATCATTCTGATCTGTAAGTTTGATGAATAATTATGGAAGTAATGGCATTCTGTCCAAAAACCACCTTATAGAAATAATATACTGATTATGTAAAAAATATTCGTCGAAATTAACTCAAATGTAAAGTCGTAATAATAAAGTAACTGAAGGAAATACAGACATTAATAATATGTATTGAAGGTGTTTTTAAAAAAATCAAATTTTAAGTGAGGTGTACCTAAGCAACAAGTAAAACAAATGGCTACCTACAGTCAATTAATAGACGCCGGCATAGAGTGGAAGCAACATGAAAACTGAAGTTTCAATATCACGGGAAATTCTATTATGACGGGAACAGTTGGTTAGCACAAGATAGGGGGGAGCCCGTGTTAGTAAGGTTCAAAATCGCCCGGCAATTTCGCAATTAAGAATTAATAACAATTAGTATTTTACGTACCTTGCGGCGTGACGGGACGACCGCGGCCGAGGGAGTGACAACATCCAGAAGTTGGAAGCGATCATTGGCAAACATTGGCGCAAATGTTTGCTCGAATTAATCCGCGAACGGGCCTGCTCGCTTCTAGGTACACTATGCAGCGATGGCGAGACGGTTCTAAAACCACTCGTGATATATGCACACATCGCGGATACGTCGTTAAACGGATAAATCTAAGAAAGCAAAGGCGAGTGGGTTAAATGATTTTCTGTATTTGCGCGGCTATTATACGCATAGCTAAAAGATAAACAAACAAAACCGTTTATATGGCTATTCATTTTGGTTGATTGGATAGACAAGAGCCGTGACAGCTCAGTGTCCGGGCGCTCGCCTTTAATTCAATATACTCGAGCAACCTGAGTTCGATCCCCGGTGCCGGCAACAATGAAATGGTTAATTTTAAGTGCTGAATTATCACGTGCTCAGCGGTGAAGGAAAGCATCATACAACAGGAAACCTGCATATTTTCGAAATAATAAAAAAAATATTTCGAAGGTATGTGAAGTCCGCCAATCCGCAGTGGGGCCGCGTGGCGGACTATGCCCTGTTACCCTCTGTACAGAGGAGGCCTTTGCCCAGCAGTGGGACATGTATAGGCTGATACTTTACTTTTTCTTTACTTTGGATAGATACCCATGACCTACGTTCGAAACGTCGAGAAATAAAACTAAAATCAAAGGCGATAAATGAAAAAAAATTCGAGTTTTGGTTTTAATTCACATTTTTGCAGCACAAACTTTGAAGAATATGTTAAAATGTTTTGAAAATATGTTTCAAATGATATTAGAAATTAAAAACGTGTTGCCAGAAAGCGGGGTCGTGTAAAAGTCATATGATCGATAAAAACAATGTTCAGTAATAGTCGGAAATGGCTTCGGACGTCGAAACTTTTGCGTTTGGACTTTTTTAATAAACGCTCTTTCAATTAAAAATAAATTTACTCTACTTGACTTGAGTTTGCATGTGAATTTATCAAAAATGGGGTTTAGTTAAACATATAAACTGAAACCACAACAACTATGAATGAAAATTAATGAGGAAAACGAAACAATTAAAGAATTATGAGAAATAAAAATTATTTTAATTAAATGACTCATTGCTCATCAGTAAAAGTCTATACAAAAAACTTGTTACCAATCCCCGGAGCAAATCCTAAATTTAAAAACGAACGCTACGTGTCGTAACCTATCGAAACCTAAACGTAACATAAACCGCACAGTTCGGGTATATTGCTACGTGTTCTGGCCGGGCTAGCGGCTTCGAACCGAAATATATGGTGGGTGGTATTTCGTATCTGTATCACCTCAGTGCGGGTTCAGCCCCGGGTCGCTATTGCCGCGGACGAGATTCGACGCGCAACGACCCCGTTTGTTTACGCGCGACACGCTCGCCTCAATGGAAATTGCGCGTTCGTGAATTCCTCTCTGGGACACTTTAAATTTTAAATAAAAAAATCAAAATCAAAAATTTATTAATTCACATAGACGCTTGCGCGTTCTTATGAAATGTCAAAATTTTACATTAAAATTAATACGTTCGTAAGTTACCACCTGCACGTGTTCGGAAAGAAATGCTCAAATATACCGTGCCATGGTTCCGTCCTCACATCGCGAGAGACTTTAATTGCAATGGCATTTTTTGGAGAGAAGGCGGTGGAAGGGCGATAAGCTCACTTCAATGATTAGTGACCTGCCGCCCATGAACATATATTATTACTACGTATTAGAAACGTCGTTGATGTAATGTTTGGAGGGGCTCAGATTGAAGATTGTCGAAAAAAGGACATATATTATATTATATTCCATTTTCCTTAACCGGGTAAGCACCACGACGAAGATCGGCGTGAATTGGAAGTGGTATACTTCTGCGTTTCTTCTGGTGAAGAGTAAGAACTTCTCATATAAAAAAAGTACTAATTGTAGTATTACTTACACATCATGCCGGTCATCTGTGAGGTCGTGGTACTTACCCGGACGGACCTGCCGACGGACGGACGCGATATCTTTCGACCGTTGTCTCATGTTATGTGATCAAGACCTTAATATATAAAATTATGGCATACGGCCATATATGAAAAAATAATACACTCCCAATTTTCATAAATGGATAAACTAACCTATTAATCTTCTCATCGAATACAAAGTTTCGAATTGTCTCGAACAGCGATATCAGTAATAATGTTTATAGAATCATATAAAATACCATTATCATTATTTTTGCATCGATTATCTTCCCTCAATAAATCATACTAAATCGTTAATTCATGAATAGAAGACATTTGGCACTAATCACTCGACATATATTACACCTTATCTGCTGCGGAGCCTATGGCAAAGGCTCTCTACGCGATACGCACACGGTTACTCATATAACTATTTTAAGGTCAATATTGACCTTACACAATTTTGGACACAGTTATGATCTGGTTTTAGCAAAAGGTCGTTATTAATTAACTAATATTACGTTTATTTCAGTATTTACACAAATATTAGCTACGACCTCTTCTAATATGCTTCTGTTAATTACATTGTAGTTTTCATTTGAACTAGATACTTAGTACTGATTTTGAACGAACGCGTCATGCCGCTGCATTATGCATCTCAAAAGAACAACCAAGGGGTTCAGCCAACAAACATCGTTAATTAAACAACAAAAACGGGTATACCGTCTTCATTGAATATAATTCCTTTAATTACACGAGGAGCAAAATCATTGCAATGTTTACACTTATTCATAAGAATTGCCAGTGTAAATATTTATGTAAAACTCGGACCAGACGATTCCATAAGCAAGGAGCTTACGGAGCTTTTTTTACATGATAGGTGATAAGGGAGTGGGCAGTTCACCTGAAGTTAAGTGATCACCACCGCCTATGGTCATATACAATCCCTGACAGATTGCAGATGCGTTGCCAACCGGTCCAAAAGTGGGCCCCGGTTACCTCAACACACGAAACGCGAAAGTATTGCACTTTCAATTCACGGCAATTCTGCGAGACCGAGGTAATTCCCCGGACGAGCCTGCCTATTCGTGCAACAACAGAGGCTGATTCGTGGGGAAAGACCTACTTGCTACAAATGCACCGATCTCCTTACTTCGGCGGTAACACAGCTTATCTTGCCGGTCTGGAGGAGAGATATTTAGACACGCGTTAATGTGATTCTGGTTTGTCAGAAACACAAAAAAAAAATTTTTTTCTTATTCGCCAATGAACTTCGAATTAAATGATCAGACTTCAAATCTTTAACCTTTACAATATATGAATAGTATATAGAATAGAGCTAAGGTACCTTAATCTTAGCTGTCATAAGAGACGTAAAAGACTATTAAAGGCTAGCGAGCGAACGGGGTGGAAATTGTGCACTAAATTTGACTATGTTGTTGTATGTTGTGGCAATATGGGGCTGCCTTGTGGTGCCACAGATTAGCGATGAAGGAACACAGGAATCTTAGGAACCTTGGGTTTGCTTAGGTGTAGTATAGAATAGCACGAAAATTATTCAATAAATGATATCAATAAAAGAGTCATACCTCAGGGAGGTAGGGTATAATTATTTAATTAATATTATAATTAAATAACGCAGGGTTAATAACATTTCCCCCCAGATTAAAAATGCCGCTATATGCCTTAAGATAAAGCTCAAACTCTTTGTTTAAATTTCATAATTCTTTGTGACTTGACCCTTTTTAATACGTTTATTCTCGTGTAAAATTCCGTTAAAATTTCTCCACTCGGCGAAATTGTAATTACCTCGTTAATGAAATTTATAGTTCAATTAAAAAAATGAACGATGAAATGTAACACAAAGGAATGTTGTCGCCTCTACGAGTACAAGTTAGAATGCTACAAAGAGACATAAACAAGAAATACCTTTTAAATAGTAATTGAGAAGCCGTATTTGATGTCAAAAACGATATTATACGATTCTACTTACCAATTACTCCAAATGAACAAAATAAGTAACTAAAATTTATATTTTAGCATTATTTTTTAAAATCGCACGATGCACAAATGTATTCCGATCGTTAACTTCTAATTTTAACCGACTTCATAAAGTTCTCAATTGGTATATTTTTTAATAATCCCTTGCTTTTATTACACAACAACTCTTAAAACTGTCGTCGCAAACGTTGGGGCAAAGGTTTGCCGGATGGCCGTACGGCCGATGTAGCAAGGCGAATATTGGCCGACTTGGGGCGGTTTCCGGCACTCGACTGTGACGGTCCGGGGGCGAAAGTCGCGTCAACGCCCGCCAAAGTCCCGAGAACTTGTGCCGCGCGTAAAGTGTAAAGTGTTTTGTGGCGAACAGTTTTAAGGTAATATCCATGTATCACGATAGCTGAATATTTTTCCATGAAGTGCAGCATCGAATATTCACTCGATTTAAAATACAGAGGGAAGGGTTTTTGAGTGATGCGACTCAGTTTAATTTAAAATGAAATAACAATTTATACGACTTTTGCGATGTGTTATTAACAGTTTTTAATTTTTCTTTAAATGACGAACTACTATATATTTAGAATATAAAAATTCAAGTTATCAATAATTAAAATTATAACTAATAAATGTTTTATACTTATTTTATTTTATTTTTAAAAGCCTATCAGCAATTGTTTACACTATATCTTAATAATAAAAAAAAACAATAGGTACATGTGTAACAATAATTTAAAGATAAACACAGCAAGTACAGTTAAACATCGTAACAGTGATATACATTAAAATATAAATAATGAAATAGTAAAATAATTTTAAAAAAAGTGTGGCTTTAAATAGTTACAAAATTAAATCATGGTTTGATCGGTATGTGTACTACATAAGGTATAGATATTTAGATTGCGCATTGTTGGCTTCTGGTATTATTTGTATTTTAAGGCACTGTAACCGCGATACACTGATGATAAAAGGAGAAGGGAAAGGTTCTCAATTCGGTGGTTATTTATATGTTTGTTACCTCAGAACTCGGTTAGTAGTGAATCGATTTTAAAAATTCTGGTGGCCTGGTGGTCACATATTAAATTTCATTGGCTTTGGACTCCGGAGATACGTCAGAGAACTGAATTCCTCAAAATCAAATGGGACTGTATAGGGAGTGAGATATTTAAAGTCGAGGGTTTGTCATTTGTTAATAAAAATGTTGTACGAATATGTGCCCTGTAGAATTTACATTGAAAGTTTTAACATCTAGTTTCTACAAGGGAAAAGAAATATAGTGGCTCTTAGTTTAAGTAAATAAGATTTCGCAATATGTTTCCTACATTTATTACCTTATATTTACGTTTTTCAAATACTCTACTTTGAGTTTTGTTATTGTTATTTGTTTTGTTTGTGCCAACAGTTTGAGAAATATTGTGAATATAACTGTTGCATGCACATTAAGATCAAATCATTAATAATTTTGTAATTAATTTTCTAATTTACCAATGCTATTTGTTCTTTGATAAATAAGACCGATTGACTATTCAAGAAAAGTTCTAATTATAAATTGAATAAAACAAAATGTTATCGATTTGATTCGTCTTGGAGATTGAAATCTTTAAAATGGGACGTAAAAAATGTTAAGCAATGATTGAAATTAATTTTTATCATTGTTTTTCTGTACGCATTTGATTTGGCCGTTGTTAGTTTGGTGTTCGACATCAGACTGGACATTTATATTTTAGCTTTGGAAAAGGAAATTCACAAATCGAATCGAAGTCGAACGAGGAATAGGGTTTAATTATTACTAGTAGTTGTAGTAGTATATTTTCAATAAATATATTTCTAAATAGGTTTTTTAATTTTTTTTTCCAGAATGTAACATGACTATTAGAATAGTACTTCAATAACTTTATTTAAAGATTGAATCATTTATAAAAAATATCAAAATGTTAATTTAACCAGAATATGTATGAGAGTTTAACTTATAAACTTTTAACGCTTATTATAATCTATAATTATAGTCCAATAATTATAAAGTTTTATAACTTCATATTTTTTACAATAACATTATTATTGTTAAAATGTTAAACTTTATTAATTTCATAGCAGTTCCAATATGCATTCGAATTCAATTAATTCCAGTTAAATTCCTTAAATGACACAATCAATTTCAAAATTGAATAAATTCGCCCAGGATTTGATTTAACATCACTCTGTATTGTTCCAGATGTTTTTGGTCAACGCACCGCTCAAGACGAAGCCTAGCTGATAGGCGTTTGAGCACTGTTTTGACACTGGCCACATAACAGGCGAGAGGTAGCCGTTAAGTAGATACTTGTTAAAAAAAAAAGAAAAAGGAAAAGTCGTTGGCGGCAGTCGCGAAGGCGGCGCCGCGCGTGACGGTTGTGGCTAGCTGGCGCCGCTTGTGTCTGGTGGCGGGCGTGGGTGCAGCCAGTGCGCAGCGAAGCCCGCTCGGCTGGGCAATGGGCAGCTCGCAGCGTTTGGCCGCTGTGGCGGCCGTGTCCCACGCGAAACACTACTACAACCACACCCAACCGGTCGTCACGCACACAGAGGCGGCACATTATAATGTTAACGTCTTCTTCGTCAGGTTGGTCCTTAATATGAATGAATTATGTTTTTGATTTTAGCGCTAGTCTCTGCACTTAAGATGAATCACTTAAAATGTCTATATGAAACTGTCGCAAGGAGCACTATAATTAAAATTTCAAATCCAATAGCAAAGGCGACATCTCTAGTAATCAAATTGTCAGTGTAAAAATGGCATTTGAGAAAGCGTGTTAGAGGAAGGCACATTAGATGGCGCCAAGCATTGCTAAAAATGCAATAAAAACAAAGTAGATAAGACGTCGAGATTTTCGCTCGGTTAGGATGTCGACCTTAGTGGTTAGAACGTCTGGTCACGGCATCTAGAGAGCGCAGGGTCGAATCCTGGCGGAGAAAATTTAGCGACAGTTTTATCTATGCATTTTAAATATTTTATTTATGGAAAAGTTGGCAAGCAAACGGCTCCCCTGATGTCAATAAAGATTTACAGCACCTGAGGAATTCCAATAGGAAGATGGAAGTAAAATAACGAATTATCTATATATAGGACAATGTACGTACACGACATATGTATCTTGTTTGACACATAAAAGTAGCGTTATTAAATTTTATGACAGAGCGAATATACGCGAATATACGAGTGCCGAAAAACTCTGGAATCCCTGAAAACGACTGGACATGCCCGTTGTCACTTTATAGTGTAATAAATCTCTCGGTTGAACCACGGCTCTAACGCTATATTAGTTATTTATACGAGTATGGAAAAAATATTAGTTCACTAGTAGGGTAAGGTGCGTAACTGCATTACGCGTGTAGGAATCCGTGTTTTGTAGTATACATTGGGAAGATGAGAACATTTTTTTTTCATTTGAAATGTTAAGAAATACAATTAAATACTGATGTGTATATCAAGTGCTTCTAAGCAAAATATTTCAATGTATGAACGTCTGTACCTAAAATGTTATCGTATATGTGGAATGACCAGAAATGGAAAATATATGAAGTTTGTATACAGTTTTGGAATTGACAGTTTTCGAGCTGCTATAACCCAAAATCGAAATATACCACAAAGCCAATACTTGAATTTCTTTTTCAATTGTGAAAACAAACTTTTCAAACGGGTTATATTTATAATGTTTTAATATAACATTAACTTTTAATTATAGTAAAAAGTGTGCGTTCAACGTTGGAAAAATAATATAACCCTGATTAAAATTTGCAGTACACTTTTTCCATGATATGTGCGTGGTCTATACTTTTAAAATAGACATGGACCTATGCCAGTACAAACGTATTTTTATATTATGAATGCCACTAACTTGAAAGTATGAAAAACAATCTAACAAGCGAAAGTGAAGCGTGTAGTATTTCAGCAATAAAAATTTACCTCCGCTTTTAAGGCAACAATTAAAATTCTAATAAAGTATAAAGTAATAAAAGAATACTAGGACGTTTAGATGAGTACCTAATTCGGTTTTTATATCCGTGTACTACTACTATATACAGTGATCAGATTTCATTTACATTTATATTCTATTCATATAACTCGATTGGGTAAATATAAACGAATCGATCACGGTCAAAACTTGCTACGAGACTTCTCTTGGAATATACTTATGTTTTCATTATATGAAAGCTGAGGTGATTGGATTAAATAAATACTACCACAAATGCTATGCAATGAACATTTTAATAACATATTTATAACTTGTGATTTTTATACATAATTTGGTTTTCGGAATAAAATAAAATAAATGATTATTATTCGACCGAGTGCTCTTATATTAAGTAAAGACCAAGGCAATACGTAAATATTTGAGTAGATAGAACCATAATACTAGATAAGAGATTATTTATGACTTGAAAATTTTATCTCGTAGCATGTATGAAAATTGTATCTCGTAACATGCAGATAAATAAAACTGACACAAAAGGCCTGAATGTTTTACCTGAACATACTAAATTCTATATGGTATGGGTATCTCGGAATAATTGAACCCTCTGTCTTAAATGGGAAGGTGTTATTGATAATAATAAAAGTTCATGGTTTTAATCCGAATTTCTAACAAATTGTGAAATGGGAAGATAATAACCATAATTTTTCTTACGGTTATTAGCTTCCTCTTATTATTCATTATGATTCATCAATGTTAAAATCTGAACACTACTACAATTAAATAGAATAGTATGGAATGAAGTCAATTTCTTCAAATTTTTATAGCTATTTCTATTATAATAAAAATGTTCATGAATTATGTTTTTGTTTCCAAATAATACACACACACACACACACACACACACACACACACACACACACACACACACACACACACACACACACACACACACACACACACTTCATATGCTTTCCTTTCCAGTGGCAAGGGTCTCCCCCTGTTTGGCGGGAGCCACTGTCAAATTATAATTCAAAATACAATGCTATTCATACATAGAATGAAGCTTAAAATCGTTGTAAATCGGTAACGTTTTATGCAGTGGAAATGTACTACAATTAAATAGAATAGTATGGAATAAATGGAACATTGTTGTGCTTTTGTTGAACATGTAGGGTCTAAAGAAATAACTGCTTTCAAGACTATTTCGGCGAACGCGAAACTTTCTTCAACTATAATTGGGCTTACTCTATCTTAGGTTCCGAGATAAAGATAGGGACTGTGTAGGAAGTACCGGGCAAAAGTTTTTGAATAGCTCTAGATAGTTAGATAAAATGGGAAAACAAGGCGACTTAAAGTATTTACGTGACCCGCGCGTGTTTGGTGATGTTGTTTTTGTGTTTGTGATGTATCGCGTGGATTTAACTTCGTACGCTTAAACAATGGTTCAAGTGGCCACCTTGTCATTATACGTGTGTTTTGGAATTGATGCATGTTAATGGGATACCTGACGACGTGATAGCTCATTGTCCGGGCGCTCGCTTCTAATTTAATATACTCGAGCGACCTAAGTTCGAAGTATTGCATTCTCAAGATATTTTTAACACGAAAATATAGAAAGAGAAGCTAATTCTGAAGATTTTATTTGAATGAGTCTAAGGGGAGGTTAGAAAAATAAAAGCGAGATGAGAAGGCTCTTCTTATATTTAATACTGAATATAATTGTAATAAACTTTTACTCCGCACGGATGAGTTCTCATAAGTAATATAACATTTTTATTAACAACAAACAAAACAGAGTTCAAATATCTCACTTACTATACAATTTAGGAAGTTTTTCTAGATATTGTTTTTATCAAAGCAATATAGTAAAAGATTTTTCTTTTATTGCGCTGTTTCGCAAGAATAAGAATGATTATCACTACATAGAATAAAACAAAGTCGTCCCGCTATCTGTCTGTCCCTATGTACGCTTAGATCTTTAAAAGTGCGTAACGGATCTTGATGCTTTTTTTTTGCTAGATGTTAAGTTATATGTATAGTACATGCATAATAATTTTAGAGACACATGAATATATTAAGTACCAGCATTGCACCCGTGCGAAGCTGGGGCGGGTCGCGAGTTGTCCTAATAATAGAAAAAAACAAAACTATATACATATCAATTTCATAAAATTTAATCAATTCACCCGAGCGTGATGACCACGCAAGTTCAGTGCTTTTTTGCTCTTCCCATAAACATTGGCTTACAAATATTCATAGAAGTTAATAACTTTAAAAGTGTTCCCATTAATCGTCCGTGTTTTGCAAATTGGTAGTGAGGTACTTAGTGTTTTGTTTTCATCTCAACTAAGCTACAGTCTCTGTCGCAGCGCTTAGAGCTTTTCAGAAGCTCGCGTAATCCGGTAAAGCGAGAACTATTCGATCAACAAACTCCATTCCAAAGCTGCTAGAAATATACTTTACCATTCAGTTCGTTAATCACATACACGTAACCTCGCAGGTGAAGTTATGTGCGGTGATAGATTTTGTACTATGTAAGCCTACGACTTGTAAAATCTGTATAATAAAGAGGAAAACAAAAGGATTGATAGAAAACAGGACATTGATTGATATAGAAAAGGCAATAGAACTGTGTTTATTTTCGAGGAAAAAAAGATTTGAAGATATGTGAAATATGCCAATCCGCAGTGGGGTCACGTGGTGGACTATGCCCTAATACCCGCTGTACAGAGGATTCTTTGGAATATGTATATAGGCTGCTAACTTATTTTATTTTACTAATGTTATCCAAAACTACCGTAGCAAACTTCATCCAATCCTGATACTTTTATGAAAATTACATGCAAGTTTAAGTAGTTCTTTTTTCCTACTTTTATTTAAAAAAAGAAATATGTATTGAGTTAGGTAACTCATTACATATTTTTTCCACTCCACTGATCCTATGTAGGTACATATGATCAGTGGAGCCCGAGGCATGGTATACAACTAAATCGACATTTAATATTGGAGACTAAATATGGATTTGTTGAATAAAATGGTTATTAGATAATCAAAGGTATTCTATTTTAAAATAAAAAACAAACTTGTACCACATAAAGTTAGATTCGAATCATAGTCAAAAGAAAGTCAATTTCGTAAAATTTTTATAGCGATTTCAATAAAAATGTTCATGAATTGTTTTTTTGTCTCCAAATAATACACACACACACACACTTCATATGCGTACCTTTCCAGTGGCAAGGGTTTCCCCCTGTTTGGCGGGAGCCACTGTCAAATTATAATTTAAAATACAATGCTATTCATACATAGAACGAAGCTTAAAATCGTTGTAAATCGGTAACGTTTTATGCAGTGGAAATGTATCATGCGTTACAATCGTTCAGATTTACCAATTGAATTTTAGGGGGGAACGCCGTATGGAGACGAACCGAATGTTCCAGAATGTATTCAAATATATGTAAAGTCGGTTAACCGTAGGGACCGTTAGCGTGGCGAATTACGATGTTCAGTCTCTTAGATACAGAGAGGAACGGTAGTCAAACACTGGATAATTTGAATATTTCTAATCCAACTGCTCTTTTTTTTTGCGTTGTAAAATTAAAAAAAAATTGTCAAATCAAATTCATTTTATAGATTTGTGTTCATGTTCACGAGACAGACATACTATTACGATGATCATCGACCCTGTAAATAGTTGAGAAACGTCGCAAATTACAAAACTAATAAACGCGAAAAAAGTGTGTTAGTTTTATTTAACAAATAATTATGTAGTGTTTGAGTCAAATCTAAAGTGGAAATAAAGAACTTTTAAAACTAATATCAGGTTTCTCAACAACGGATTAGAAAAGCCTACCTCTTTAAATGCTCGAAGTAAATAAAAATAAATACAAAAAAAGACAAAAAAGTAAAGGAAAAAGGTTCATATGCCATTCTCAAAGCCCGAAACTCATTATTCTGTTTCTTTTTAGGTGAATATTGACATTTTATAAACACCACGGATATTATGAAACTGGTTCCAAATTTTAATTCTTTTCGTTGAGCAAAAAGTTATTTTATTAAATTATTTATTTTTAAGTGTAAAAACAAAGTAAGTTATTTTCTTTTCGTATTGCAATTGCAATTTTACTTTTTCAATGGAACGATATCAATAAATTTCTGATATTGAAATTATTCTTACAGAGTAAATAGAGAAAATGTAACATATAGAGAAAAGAACGATTGCTTGATCTTCTAAAATAGATCAAAATTTTAAATTTTGGATATTAATAGCAACGCTGCCTTAACTGTAAAACAAAATCTGTTACGTAGTTCCCTTAACAGTCGGCCATACATATTACTGTATTCCGCAAATAGAACTTAGGGCCTGTTCACACGTAGCGTCTACCATTCTCAGTAATCGCAGTACTATTATATTTAGGCACGAATTTTAACTGGAAGGTCATTCGTGTATGGTAGCACAACAAAACCAATTTTCCGTACGACCTTTAAATAAATGTGGAATGAATGTGTAAAATGATGTAACGTGCGGTTTCGCCATGAGTGCTACGTTCTCGTGACAGGATACTTTGACATTTGATAGCGTTTTAAATGCCTCGCATGTTAATTAAATTGTGGCGTATTCGTTTACGTGTATTATGGAATGCTTATTGTAAGTGTACTTGAATAATATAAGATTTAAATTTATACATTAATCGGGCTTAGGCGGAACGTAATAACAAAAAAGGTAAGCAGAAATAAGAGTCGTGATTCAAAATTATTCAATTATTTTTAAGTGTCGCGTGTTCCCGTCAATGAGAAACGTTACAGTCCAATTAGTATTAATTTATACAATAACTTTACTATATGCACGTGTATTAAATTCAAGAACTTTTTTTCTAACGACATCTACGACAAAGAGGTTTGTGTGAGTTGTGTGAGATATTGTAAACATTTTAAAACATAACAATTTGACCTAATTTTGTCATTACTATAAGATTTGTTTCGTTAAAAACAAAGTTAAGGATGTTAATTCGATTCGTTCCGAATTCTAATTATATCACACGTAAGAACTCGACAAAGAGAATTGCGCGATACGAGCGTTGTTAATCAGGATCGCGGCGGAACAGGGCATCGTTTAATTAATTCGGGTGGTGTTACGCTTAACAGTAATAAGTTGCGAGATTAGTTAACAACCCGCTGCGGGGGCCGCTTGACGGGATTGAGCGATATTACGGTTTTACAAGTGGCTGCGTGTTATCGCGCTTATCCGACGCGGTAGTATCGTTGAAATGTACGAACCAGTTCCAAGTACAAATACAGAAAGACGTTATGCTAATTCCTCTCACGGTGTGCCATTATCGCTGCCAGTTCTGTTTATACACAAAAAATTATTAGCATTAGACGCACATCAAACAGTAGTTCGGATTTGCGACGTTGACTGCACCGCGTTCTAAGTCGGAAAATCATTCAAATTACATCTAACGTCAACAATTCAATAATTTGTAATCAACATTGTTCGATGCACCTGACACGTGGCGCACACATGCGTTTTAATGTATTATTGTGATACTCATCATGAGTGTATGTTAGGTAATCGGTTTTAAAAGGTTGTCAAAAACGCATCTGCATTTCTTCAAGTATTGCAGACGTCCATGGGGGGGCTGCTCAACTGCCAACATAAGTTATTGCATGCCACGCTCCAAGTATGAACAACGTCCACACTTTTAGGAACGTTGTGTCTTAAAACATTTACTCGAATTAAACGATTCGAAGTTGCAAATACCCATTCTTTCAACAGTGCAACACTTTGCGGGGTGCTGGTGGCGGTATGCGCCGCTTGCTGGCGACGCTCCCCCGCCGCGGACAAACCGGACGACGTAATCGAGTGCCGCGGAGTCTACACGGTCAGCAACGACGCACGCTTACAGGTAAATTTAGCTGTAAGCCGTGCAACATACAAACTTTTTTCGCAATCTTCTATGTTTAAAACTGGTTGTGCAGACATGTAAAGACACCCATATTTAAAGTATGTTCGCGCAATTTCGGTAGATGACGGTAATTTGTAAATCGCGATGTTGAGAATTTTTGTAAATTAACGAGTTTAGACAGCTTTTTTTTTAAATTATATTGGTCTTAGCACACAATATAATGATGTTGTAAGCCCTTGGATCAAACAAAGTGCCTGCACAGACACATTTCAAAAACACCCATATAGTATAATTTCGTTTCAAAATTTGTGGCTTTTAACATTAAAACGCGACAATCAATTTTGTTCAATGGACCAGTGTGAATTTACTTTGCTGCGATGACAAAACGTTATTCGGAACAACTTTATGCGAATTATCGGATTTTAATTTTAATTGTATGCGTGATACAGGATTAATTGATGAATCGACCGCACGCAATTACAAACGTTTGTGGCAAAGCTTAGTTTCAAACGATTTGTGAGCGTGAATTAAATTTCACCGAAATACCTTTATTATTCTGTAAAGCCATATACAAGGAGGAACTGGCTATAAGAACGTAATACTGGGCATGAAGTTTAAATAGAGGTGAATAAATATGAAAAATGTTACTGTACTTAATTTCTCCGCGCTACGTGTGTTCCTAGAACTTTTTATTTATTCTCGCTGTAATTATGACGCCGGTTGTAGGGGTCTCGTGACAGGATTACAACGATGTATACTGAAATAATGAGAGTAATGAAAATATCTATTATATATTTTTGACCGTGAACAATTCGAACTATTTCTAGTGACTTGTTATGAAAGAGTTTAATAATAAAGATTATATGAAATTCCGTTACTAACGAACAGCGAAAAACAGCAAAAAAACTTTAATAACTTTTTAAAGTTTTTTTTTATAGTGCTAATCTCTGCACTTAAGATTGAACATTAAAACATGTAGAAAAAGTACTGTGTTTAATAACTTTATTTTAATTTCAATATCATTTCATATCACAATATTTGTTTAACATAAGGGCCAAATGTTAAAGAAATATTAGAAAAATTAACTGAAATCTATCTAGCAGTTAATAGATAGATGCATTTAGGCATCATTCCATTTTAATGCTGTTTGAAAGACATTAATTCAAAACCAATGCCAACTACGTAACGCATATTCCTATATTTGAATATATTATATTACTGGACGCATTCGATATCACAACTAGGGAATATCCAAATCATCGTCGGTTCGAATATCCGCTTCGGTCTCAGGCGGATAGAAGGCCCTTACGACCTGTTTCCTGCATATCTCAATGACCGCAATCGAATATCCAAAACGTATCCCACATTATGAAAACAACGCATTCTGCGATGCTCGTGTACAAATAGCATTCAGGCTGATCGCTTTGGCCCATATCCGTTCCAAAAATAATGAAGAAACGAAGACGCTCTCTTTGACCGTACATTTAGTTTTGACTTATATTAAAACATTTTAAAGGTGTCAATTAATGAATGAAAATCAACCAAGTCAGTGAAATGCTTAGTATACCATATTCCTAGTAGACAAAACCATCTAATAATAAAACTATCCAGAAAATTTTTGTATTAAACACTTCGTAGTCCAACAACGAAAAACAACTGTGAAATGTATAATGTATTGCATGATAATATGTTTAACGTAAGCTCAAAGCGGAATTTTCGCTATCGATGTAGAGCGAATGGAAAACTTTATTCAATTAAGTTACGGACAGATTATTTTTTTGAAATGATACGGGCAGACTTTAATAGCGCAGAAAAATTTTAATTCCATACATACTTTTGCTATGGATTTTTCTACAAATGAAATGTTAAATGGTCGGTACACACGTGTACTTCATCGTTCATGCGCTCCACACTATTTAACGACAACAATTAAAACAACCAGTGCCCCTGTAAAAATTTATTCGCATTTCATTCCCAATTGGTGTTTGCGTAATGCCCATATCGCTCTACGCTAAAAGCATCAGTCGCGCTACGAATTGCTACGTAGCAACAACTCTACGATTGTAGAGTTGTTCCTACGCGCATATACGATGTTTGCACCGGCCGCGTGAATAAATAAATGAACTAAAAATTAATTCATTATGTATGTATTATCATGTATAACATATAGATACTTAATCATACTAATACTTTATATTCAGCCATGTTCAATTCATTACAACTTTCATAATGAAGATAAAATATAATACTTTTGTGCTAAATTATAACTACTAATAATAATCAAACATATTGTTCGTTTACAGTTTTAATATTTTTTATCAAAAGTTGAACTGATTTATTAGACGTTTTTGTGAAAGATTTCCTAACGCCATCAGAGTTTTTGATTAAAAAGTATATATCTAAACTTTATAAATAAAGCCAACATTATTTGTCTTGAATTCGAATATGATAAAAAAATTAATAGCAAAATGAAAACTAACGTTATTATAAAAAAAGTCACTTGTCAAAACGTACCGGAAGCTCGACCCTTTCGGGAGCACTCCAGAAGAGCGCACGCACGCCCTTTTGCACCGTCTACGTTTAAAATCCTGAAGATACTCTTTCGCGTCGAGAGCTTGACGTACATCGTCGTTGGGGAAAGAGGCATATCCGTATATCATCAACGTTAGAAGTGAGTCTTTAAAGGCGGCGCACACGGTCGGTCAATAAAAATCAAAGGTGGCGGGGACAGGTGCTTAGTCGGACGCGATTCATAATGGCGCCTCGGGGCTTCCCCCGGCCGTTGTTGACACGAAAGCTATTTACGTGCTGTATTATCGCTAACGAGCGGCGGCGGGGAGCTAACGCTGTTAGCCCGGCGTCGCTTCCGGCGCGGGATTGTAGTTCCGCAGCGCGCGGCTGCGAGCGACATTGGACTTTATGAGCGACGGATCGTTTGTAAGTCGCTTCCATTTTGCGATCGCAGCACGCTGCGGAGAAGTTACTGTAACGAAATAACCAACAACGCTCCGACGGATGACGAGCGCCTTTACAGTTTGTATTGAATGTCCGTCACAAACATTGCAATCTTTTTTTTTAACTCAATCGGTGTGTCTTGGGATAACTCTTGATGCAGACGGAGTAGCAAAATATTCATTGACAGAATGATAAGTTGGGCCACTAACTAATTGAAGAGGCGACATCATTATGGCAAACACACTTTTTTTTTTTTAAAGAATTAATCCCACTTTTGGTAGAGCCACCTCTTCCAATTTACTGGCGCCGTTTACAGTAACGACTGTAAACGGTAACATATATTTACAGTAACAAACTGTATACATACTGTAAACAGTTGTACACACACAGGTAGAATGACAAAATACATTCATATATATTGACATGTAAAACAATATTTTTTCAACACTTTGTTTGTATTCGCCGTTAGTCATCTTGTGTCTTACAAAAAACCACTTATGTGGAAATTCAACATTTTTTAAACTGATTGTAGTGGTAATTCTATATGGAGTACAAGAGTTACGCAGCAGCTTTGATTATTGCACGAAGCCTAGCCCGCCTAGCTCGTTTGGGGAAGTACTAATGACTTAGAAACGACTGGTGTGAGTATAATTATACTTATAAGTTTCGTCTGGTGAGAGAGGTAATCGGAGTTCACATTTTAATGGCATCTAAAACTCGTTAGGTGTCGTAGAAATCAATTGGTGGCGATAACCACTTAATATCACGTGAACCGCCATTTTTTTGGTATCGGGGGGGAAAGATGACAGGGTTATGTGGGGTTCTTAGCCACTAAAACCCCCTCGGTGCCCATCTTCTGTATGTTTGGAGGGACCCCGGGATCTCCTGGTGGAACGCACCGGTGTCCCTCGGTACTGGGCGTGAGCACGCCTCGGAGAAGGGTAAGCCTTCCCCGGTTCCATCACCATCTTGCAGCAGCTCGAGGCCACTTCGAGCTGCTCGCAATCCGTGTCCCCTTTTAGTCGCCTTTTACGACAGGCAGGAGATACCTTAGTCCTATTCTACACGTGAACCGCCTGTCCGCTTGCCAATTTTTCATTAAAAAAAAACATTCATAAATCCCCTTACGCCTATAATGTAAATATAAATAACACTTAACCTTTCGCGTTAAAGTCCAATATGCATTGGCAAATTATTGCTAATTAACAGAGGCCCATTAGCGTTAGTTAAATATGTGCCGAGGTGTAAAACGCCGTGGCATTTGTTTGCGATGTACATTATCCGATCGTAAATAGCCAATATCGTTAGGGAGGGGATTAACGATGCCGCGGGGTCGGGATTTACGAGCGTGCCAACAAAAAAAGGGGGCACTTTAAAAAATCAATTTAACAGACACAAAAGTGTCGGTGTGTCGACGCAATAACCGGTGACCCAGTTGATAGCGGCGCGTGTGAATGGGGCGTTACTCCTGCGGGGCTCCGGCTCGGTAATTGCGTCGTTATACACTTTCGACAATGTTTGACAAACATCCCTAGTTAGCGGCAGTCATGGCGATATGAAATCGTGACGTGCTGTAAGTTTTCACGGTCGTTAACAGAGCCTTCTGTAACAGTAATATGATAATTAAAGTAACATGTTTAATATTAATCAACTCTTTTTTTATGTGTGAATGTGGCAAGCGAACTAGCGGCTCACCTGGTGCAAAGTGATGACCGAAGCCATTTGTAACATCCGTAGTGTTGCAGATGTGTTGCCACCTTTTAATTAAGCGAGCCCCAGCCACCTCACTCACCAGATAAAACGCAGAAGTATCACACTTCCTCTTCACGTCGGTCTTCTGTGAGGCCGTGATACTTTCTCGGACGGACCTGCCCATTCGTGCAACAGCGAACTGTTGCGTGGCCCTATCACAGTTAAACAGAAAGTACTGTGATAGGGGGATAGGGTAGTTAAATACTTGAAACACAAGAAATTTCATTCCGAGTCTCAACACTTCATAGACATAATACCCGTGTTCCTGGCTTTAAGGAGTGTAAACAGTGCTT